AGGAAAAGTTTAACGTTTATTAAATTTACAAAGTTGAATTTTGTAAGGAAAACTATTAAAAGTTTTCGACGAAAAGTTGTTGCACGAGTTTCTCTTTTATAAAAGAATGTAAGTGAAAGGAATTTCATTTTGTATAAATTGTTGTGTACACGCGTATTTCTGACAAAAATCATTAATCATTGTTACACAAAGTTGCAGACGCTTGGAATTCGTTCAAAAATTCGCACGAAATTCATTTAGAATAACCGTTGAATAATTCAATGTATAATTATGTAATTATGTTATATTATATTATATTCGTTCGATAATACATAGGGAAGTTGTTTGTGAAGTTATTATTATTATTTTATATATATATTCAAATTGATACGCCATTAAACGTTTCCTCCTTATTTATTTATAGGCATGATATTTGACAAGCTAATACCTCAAACAGAAACTAATTATGTTTCGACTAATAGATTTAATCGAATTATCCCCTGTTTAGTTATAATTTAGAGATTGAAGTACTATTCACTTCTGCTAATTTGCGCTTCATTGCTATCCGGAAGTTCCAAACTATGCACGAATAATTTAATTGCACTAATTGACGCATTCTATCATTCCACGGTCTATCTTCAACGTTTAATATTTAATCTCGAACGATTATTTTCATATTATTAAAATATTCGTATTAAAATATACTACGTTGTATTTAGTATTCAATGTATGATTTTATTGTGGAAAGAAGAGGGGGAGGAAATTCAGATGATTAGATTTTGAACATATGCCAGGAGGAATATTATAAATTGTTGCAGAACAAAGAGCTTGATATCTGGAATTTTCAATCATTCTGTTTTTTTGATTTTCAAAAACGTTTTCATCTCTCAAAATTGTACAAAAACGTAGCAATTCGACTATCAAATTTAATCACTTTTAATTCAAATTACTCAGGAAAATTAATAACGTGTAACAATGTATAATTATTCTTATAGAAATGACGTCAAAGTTGCAAAACAAAAATTCAAATTTCAATTAGGATACTATGTATAAATTGTTCGCGAAAAATTGTTAATATTCGCGCAAATATACGTGCATATATCTATACACGTCGTAGAACAAAATACATATTTGTCATAAAACTGATGCTGTGTCGAGTCAAAACGGAAAATTAATTGATTAAATTTTGTCAAATGAAATTACATCGAAATTTCCATTTATCCAGGAAATTTGTAGAGTCGTATCTTTGTTCCGCAAATTGTATTTAAATAGTTGAATATCCATGTATTCAAATGTACACGAATTAAAGTATGAATATGTTAATACGTATGTATATTTGAATTAGAGGCCACTAATATTCGCGTGCAGATATTCAAACGCATAATTAATTTATTTTACGTATAGGGGACACGAATTTTTAATCAACGTAATAACGCGTGTCCTTTGTAAACATTTTATAAATATACAGCAATTTTAGAAAACCTTGAGATCGATGACAGAAAAATTTTCTCTAGATTCTCATCAATAATAATTTATCAAACCTTTTTTTCAATTCAGGACATCCTCGTTAAAAGACTTTTAAAAATTTGACTTGATTGTAGCAAAGTAATTTCGTTTCAATCCTAAAATCTAATTATCTTCCCAAAAATCAAAACTATATAAATAACCGTCAAAAATTTAAAAAAATCCAAAATCCAAATCGAAAAATTTCCAACGAATAGATAAAAAGACCTTTTTGATATCCCCTTCCAAGAATTAAGTCCAAGATTCAACCTTAAAGACCCCTGATGACCATCGATCATCCGCGTGTATATATCCCAGCGCGGCGAAACTCGCGCTTTGTCATTCAAAAGCGGCGTTAATTAATCACACGTGCACGTGCCATGCGCCAAAAACGGCATTTCCATCCCCCCTTCTCCCCTTCCTCTCCCCCTCCCCTGTGTCCGGCGTTATAAACACGCTTCGGTTAATGTAAGTATCGTTAAACGAGGGCGTAACTGACGGCATTTAGACGAAGCGTGGGATGGTTAATGGGCCCCGTGGATCCGAAAACGTACGCACGAGCGTACACGTGTGTGCATCGTGTCTGTATGCGTGTGTGTGCATCTACGAATATCCACGAATCGCGGCGAATCGATGTCACAACCCGGGCGAAATATTTTCATTCCCCGGGAGGGATGAACGGGGAGGGAGGAGGGAGGGTAATGCCGACAATTAAACGGGGGCGCGATCGGTGAAAACCGAATCGATGTGTTTATTCGACACCGGCCGGTGAATAAACTATGGGCCCC